ACAAAAGGACCGAGCTGCATACATATATGCTCAAAACATACGTATATGGGCATAAATTTTGAGCAAACATAATTTATTACAACACACATTGGTTGTTGCTGCCGGGCCGTCGCTGCTGCCAGTGACTTTGTTTATTTGTTTGTCGGTTTTAACGCTCAAAATATTGTTTGCCCAGGGCAGAAAAAAATTAGCACAAACACACATGCCCAACAGCGTTGGGGTCACCGCACCGATGGCAGTCGCCATTTTGTCCACTTGGGTGCCATTTTTGTTGGCGACGGAAAAACTGGTGGCGAGAATTCCGCAAATGGAACTAGCATTGCTTTTAGTAAACATGAATCATGAAAAGTCCTTATATATGCACCAACACAAATACTTTTTAAACTTGAGATAAACATTTTTAAAGATATTTTGCAGAAGAATTGTTATCGACTTTTTTAAAGATTGTAAGATTTAAATTAATTTTTTACTAATTTGATATGATGATCTCAAAACTCCTTGATTTTTGAATCAAAGTAGCATTTAGCAATTTATTAAAACATAAAAATAATATTATATTTAACTTTTTGTACAAAACCAGTTTTCCATCTGCTGTTGCTTATAAAGAAGGGGCTTTGATTTAAGCCTAAATTTATTAAAACTCCTACCATTCTAATAATGAATAGATTTCATCAAATATCAGCATAATATCACGTGCTTTAAGATCTGTTTGACAATTCAAAGTACATTGCTATTTCAAGAGTATTTGTTAAAGTAATAGCAAGCATAAATACAAGAATATTGTCTTTTGGCAAATAAAAAGGCTTGGGTTCAACTAAAATAATATTTGTTCAGCTTGCCCAAGAATGCAGATGTATCGTTTTCCAATTTTGTGCTTATCTAAGGGGTAATGCTTAGTAGAAAATATAATTCTCCTAGTTGAACTTGACATTATTTAGGCGTCTATTGCAATTACATCCAACTACCTTTTCAGGACAATATCTATAATTTTGTTCGCCCCCAGGCCAAGTAAAATGGCTTCCATAAGCCACTCGAAGAAGCCGCAAAAAATGGTTTAATTAAAAAAGCAATATGAAATATGAAATGAAAAATGTGATGAAAGGTTTAGCTATCAGCGAGTCAGGCAGCCGTGAACCTTGACAATTATCTTCACACATTTGCAGGGAGGCGGGGGATCCGGGCATCAGGGTATCAGGGTGCCGGGGGGAATGAGGATAATCCGCTGACAGTCGCATCGAGTCCTTGTGTGTGACCTCCTTTTGTGCCAACTCGATTGGGATTGGGAGAGACAACGCCTAAGTCGTGGAAGATAACTCGCGTTCAATCACGGCCGCTGAAAAGGAAATGAAAGCAGACTTCTACATACAATAATCGAATAAGCCGCGTATTCATTGCGCGAAAATAGAGGAAAGAATAAATCCGCACATGTCCGTTGGGAAGGAGCCGCGCTGAAGATACAGATATCCAGATACAAAGACGCTCTCGAGATACAAAAAAAAAAGGAACCGGGAGTTGCAGGCGTTGCAGCAGTTGCTGATGCATCAAAAGCCTAACGCGGGGATTTGTCTTTTCAAATGCTCTTCCAAAGAAAAGGGGTTCGGAATGGGGGATGGGGGTACTGCCATTACGGCTTAGGCCCGATAGATATAGATATAATAGCCTTATAAGCTGCTCGGTGCCAATTTCAACTGGCCCGGCCTCATCCGCTTAGCACTCGGATGGAGATGGAGACGGTAAGTGGGGGAAAGTCAAGGGTTGGCGCGGTTTGAGGTCGCTTTACATGATTATTATTGCCAATGAAATGGCAAGAGGAAAATCAAATTAAAATATACAATTTTAATGGCCACTGGGATGGCCACTCTCCGGCCAGGTCTTTTGTTCTTGGCCCATAACATTTCGCCAGTTCAGTTCAGTTCAGTTCGGGTCGGTTTGGTTCGGTTCGCTGGTTCAATCAGCGATATGACATAATGCGTTTGGCGTCACGTTACGTTGCGTTGCAACTGTCTACTGGGCTGCCACAGACTGCTCCCATTTCCTACCCCTTACGTAATTCATTAAAAAAGTTAATTTTTACCATCCGCCCAGTCGTCCGTGGGTCCTGATTGTGTGCTGATTATGGCCACAGGCCCAAGCCCGAAAGGATATGCCGCCTTATTGGGTCTGGCTTGTGGTCAGATAGTTCGTAATGATTATGCGGCCAGGACAGCGAGAATACACAGCCCACTTGGGAGGCATAATTTCAGAGGCGGAGATTTAAATTGCGAGATATTGAAGTATGAACTACCCAATTTGTTTAACTTTGGGTAGTACAAATTTTAAAATTATTTTTAAATAATGTTTACAAAATTTTAATATTTTTTCATAGGGGTCTGTAGGTTGTATGTTGCTCTATAATTATTGCAAGACTTCTTTGCTCAAAATTATTGCCCCTGCTTCGAGTCAAATCACTGACCCCTTGTGCACCTTTCGCCCGCCTTCGTAACTGCCTCTGCACACCTTTTTCCATTCTTTTGGGCTACCATGAAAATATTTTAATTAAATTTCACATCTATGCCCACGATATCCTTTTGCCGAGTGCCGGACAGACCCGGGCAAACCTTCAACTGTGACCGGAACACTGGCATAAAGCGCAGCCCATTAATCATTCAAATTACCCATACATCATCATTACCCACAGGTCTCAGTGTCCCTCTGCAGCTTGCACTCCCCTTCGCCTTTGGCCCCTTTCTGTCTACGGAGAATCTCGGCTATGGCTTACAAACAAAAAAGGAGACGAAAGAAAAATCTTCTGAAATTATTCAATGAGGGCGGTCTCAATTAGTTTTAGGCGTTTCACGGGCTCAGTAAAAACAGGTAGAGGTCGCTCCTGCGGGGGGCATACGGAAAATTGCCCAGTTACCTGATTCGGGCATTTGGCCAAGTGGAAGTTCTCAGACAGAATGGCGTCTACAGCATTTTCCACGAATTGCACTAAGCTGCTTGAAAATGGTCTCTGTCCAAGTGGAATGAATTTGGAGGATGTTGGATTATCCGTCGCTAAATGCAGATTACATTCTAGGACAGTGCTAGATAAACAGTAAGTTTTAGGACTAGTTTTACGTGTTTCGGGGAATCTTTTTATTGCTAATGTAAAATTTCTCTAAATTGTAACTAAATAAAAAAATTACTCTTCATTATATTAGACAATATAATCCAAATAACATTAAGATCAGGTCCTCAATTTACTTTTATGATTTTTACAAAATAATGCTAATTTTACAATATTGAAAACTTTGTATTAATTAATGTTAATTTTAAAATTTTCCTCACATTTCATTTAATAGCAGTGTATTCATATTATGATTTTTATAAATAAACGATATCATTTAAATTTTAAATCTTTTATCAACCAAGTTCCCCCAGCTCATCATACCATTATACCATTATAAATCGACCAAACTATCCCTGACTGCTCTCTAAAAAAAAGTGCCTTGCAAATGAGATCCGAGTGCACCTCAAGTGCTGCACTCGCCTCATTTGCCGTAATTCCATCTGCGATATCTGAGTCCCCTGCCACCCCATTTGGCAGCCTGCGGTTGTCGCGCTTTCATCGCTAAAGAGCGTTAACTAACCGCAGCGAATGATCAAATATCGAAAATCAATTCCGCCGTCCATTGTCACCCATAATTAAAGTCCTCGGGACCGAATGCCCGCTGAGGTGGTGTCACATTCGAATTCGCCGCCAAGAGGAAATCAGGGGGTTTTGGTTTGGGTTTGGGTTTGCACTGCAGTCAGTCGAGCGATTCGAGTTCTGCGGTGCTGGGAATTCTCTCACGAGTGCCACTCCAGGCCGTGATAAGGATATGGGATATGGGACAGGGGACAGGGGACAGAGCCACGGAACGAACAAATTGGAAAGACATTTAAATGCGTCTACCACTAAAACAAAACCCAAGGAGCTACCCTCTTTCGGGGTCTGAGGTTCGCTCGGTTCGTTCGGTTCGGTCGACCGCAGCTTCCGAAACCTATTTGGGTTAGTTTTTGAGTTTTCAGTTACTCTTGCCGGTCTCAATGTCAACTGTGGAAATTTCTCAAGCGTAACAAGAAATAAGTTACATGACTTCCAACGGAAGTTGGGTTGCGAATGTATCAGTTCACCCCAAAGGAAGGTAGGAATACGTACCTCCGAGGGTCGGCTTACGACTGTCTGATCTGGTCTAGTCCACTTCGCTGGCAACTTGATTCTTAATTATTGCATTTATGCTCTGCCGACAAATTTGCGGTAATTGAATATTCCGAGATCTGGTTCTTGGCCATCCCGACTATAAGAGCGTTGAAGTCAATGTGCAATTGCCATTCGGTCAGGCCCAACCACCTTTGTCTTCGGCGTAATTAGTGCGCTGAGTTATAGTTTATTTGGGGTTAGAACTTGTTATCCTTCCTTGGGCGCCGTTTTGGGTGAGTTTCATACCGGAGTCGGACCACCCGGGTCTGCCTATAACCAGATTAGGCTTGTCAAAGTCCCAGACTTCAGAAGTGGGTTAATGAGGCTATTGAGGATCTGGTTAAAAGTTTACACGGTTCAAAAGTATCTTCAAGTAGTTAAAGTAGGAAGACTTCCGGCAATTTTTCCGGGATGGTAGCCTTTACCCTTCTTCGGGTATTGAGTTTCCCTTTTTATCTCTTTCCTGAATTGTCTAAATTATTTTTCAATTAATTTGCATTATTCAGAGTTAATATAATTGCAATTGTTTTTAAACCTCCTAGCCTTTCTTGGTTCTTTTAAAACAAGAATTTTTACGATTATAATAGTGTTCAGTTTTAGCTTTTTAAATTCCCTTTTTATCCCAACTCTTTTCTAATTAACTTTCTTAGGATTTTCATTCACCCTTTCCCTTCTACTTTTTTAAATCGAAAAAATCAATAAAATTCTTTTAAAATTTATTTTGAAACACGGAGCTCTATCCACGTTCATTACGCATTCAAATTGTATCTTTTGCTTTAATTGGTTTACTTGTTTGTTATTTGTTGCAGAGTATATTTCGCCTCAGGTGCAGACACAACCACTTCCGCTCCCTTCTGCCCGTCGCATTTGTCAATATTTTGGCCCGGAACTGCAGAGCCGGAGGATTGGAGGACCGGAGGACTGGTGAACTGGAGGGCTGTGGGCAAACAAACATGCTTAAAATAACAAATTAGCATAGGCCGGGGGAACGCGGCCCTGGGACTACGGACTAAAACAACAAATATATGTAGTATACAGCCCTAGGGTTTTCGGGAGGAGGGCTGAGGAGAGGGTTTGGAATGGGAGAAGGCTGCCAGCAAGCTACCAATTTGGTACACTCACTCGAGATCGGGTTCCAAGTGGTGCTGTGCTGGCTGGCTCAAAAGTTACATCAATCACCATCAACACTCAACAACTCATCGACATCGAAATACCAAAATGGCGCATTGGTGTTAATGATGCCGACTTTGAAATTTTACCGACGCGCCCACAAGAGTTTTTTGCTAAAAAAAAATACGCAAAAAGCAAACAAGGCAAGTGTCGTTTTGAAGTTTTCATCATCATCATCATCATCATCACCACCATCGTTCGTCATTGGAGGGTCACATTCGTCATTGGGCAAACAAATGAAGGGGACGTCGAGCTGACAGATAATTTTTTTTAGCCTGTGCTGAATGATGTGCGAACAAGTTGTAATTATTTCGCATTAAGCCACGGAACGCAACGCAACGAAGATATGCCGATGACGCCGAGCTAATGGCCATTGGTTCTGGTATTTCCCCTCCACATTTATTATTAAGAATTAAGAGCTGTCAAGATGGTTGCATTGGAGCGAAGAGGAAAACTCAAAACCAAGTTTTTTAATTTGACTTTACTTTAGCTTGAAAAATGACTTCAAATAATTTGAACACTATTTAAGCAAGGTTAACCAAGTGAAATGTAAGTTTAGAGTTCTTCTTTTCAACCAAGAAATTTGCAAACGGTATTTATTTAATTTAATAACTACTGACCTCAATAAAAACTCTTTAAATAAATAAGAAACTTTTATTAAATTCTAGTTCTTATATTTTTATTTACTTCTATTTTCAAAATGTCTCTACATAAAAATAATAAAAAGCGCTAAAGCAAATAAGGACAATGATGAAGGAGGAATAGATTCCCAGGGCGCATACCGGTGCATCACCAAGGGGTATAAAATTCCGACGTCCATGGATGTATTGCGACTGATAAGGGCCCATGGTCACCACCAGAATAATTAGTACGAAGCCTATCATTAAGCAAATAATGGAGCTTCTTACAAAGAACATAGATACTCCCAATGCAAAAAGTAGTATCACACAAGAAGCCATAACAACGCTGGCCCAGAAATCATTGGGCAGCATTTTCAAAGGACATTTGGCCCCGCAAAGATTCAGTAGTACCACAAATGATCCACTGGCCAGCAGAGCAACTAGAAGGATCCATATATTAATCATAAACATGTAGTAGGATCCGCAGAGAGTTATTAACAACACCGTAAACACTGCCAGAATTAGATTGCAGGGGTTTTGAAAACGCACCTGGCCACAGCAACTCAGAGTTATCAGGCAGATGAAGGCCAGGATGAGCCAGACGAAAGATGGCACAGGAATGGATTGGTCCACGATGAGTCCAGTGGCGGAAATTGTCAGCCATGGAACCACCGAACACAGGCAGAATATTATGGTGAATATATATACTAGCCGTACAAACGATTTTAGTACCCTGGGATCATTAATAATTATCATATTATTCTGTTCGTTTTGCTGGGTATCACCGGGACCACCCATCGCAGCACATCCTATTGCCGAATAGTAGAACAAGGGCCGATCGTGCATATTGCTTAAAATTGATTTTAATATTCAGCAGAATAAGTTCGAAAGTTTTATCTATGCTGTCAGACGAAGTGAAAACAAAATCCCGATGGTTAAAAGAGGTTCGTTTTTATAAAATTTTACTTGAAGGATATTCGTATTAATGATTCGTTTACAATTTTTTCAAAAATTACCTTCGCACGGTGTTATAGACCCAAATTATAGGAATTATTTTATAATCAAGTTTTTATCATTAATTTCTTTCCCCGGAAATTTGTTTAAAGCGCCCGAAAACCACTCGGACTAGTTTGCGCTGGCCATTAGGACCACGACCCAGTGTAAATGATTATGTCGAATTCCACCACCCTAAACTCAGTTATCTGGGGAGAAATCAAACTGCTGCTGCCACATTTCGTTGCATTTAATTATGCGAAAGCCTTCGATAGCCAGCTACCAGTTGACATTGAAGTCCGGGTTTCCCACGTTAAGGCACACACAACCGCCTACCAAAGTCGTTAGCTGAAGTTGGGCGGAAAAGTCGAGGCCCCTTCCCCCGGCTCGATTTACAATGCTTCCGCGTTTTTGTCACCGGAAAGGTAAATCACGAGCTGACCACGCAACAAGCGGAATTATTCCTTTTTTCCCCCATTTTCCACTCTTACTTTTTGAGGGTGAAAATGAGAGTTAGGAAAAACGCGCAAGTTTTCCGCGCGCATTAACAACCCCCGGCTATCGAGATTGGGTTTCGGATCGGGTGGCAAAGTAACCACCGCGACACGTCGCGAACGTTTAATTGCATTCGATATGCGCTTTTGGGAATTTTCCCACGATTTTCGTGTAAGATTTTCCGAAAGGTAACTAGCTCAGGTCAGTTCGGCACAGATCGGGTCCAGATGCTGGGATCGAAAGCTGCTGCGAGTGATAAAGTCCTTACACTTGGATGAAAGTATTTCCCAGCTTTGAAATTAACAAAATAGTTATAATTAAATTATTAAAGACAATGAAAATAAATGTAATTTTTTAAAATGGATTTTATATTTTAATTATTCGTTAGACTTTAAGTTGAGCTTTCAAGACTATATTATTAAAAAAATAATTTTGAAGAATAAATTTGTATTTAACTGTCCCCAAAATATAGAAATATTTTACATAATATCTAAATATGATTCCACACTATAACTTAACACTATAACCTTCTTAATTCTGAATAAATTCATTATTTCTCTCAGTGCTAATGGTGGTGGCAGTCGTTGATCATCACCATCATCATCACCATCGCTATGCACACTATCATCCTGATAATCAACATTTATGGCCGCTGATTGTTTTCGCGACTGACCGCGACGCCTTCGAATAAAGGGTTGCTATCGCCAATGCTACTGCTATATTTTTGGAGAGATACGAAAGGATAAGACCGGCAGATCGGAGACCCTCGCCGCGTAGTCTGAGATTTGTGTGACTCATAACGAGTTTCCTCTCGCCTCGCTTGGACCTTAAGTGGATATTGCATTGTTGAGGGACTCGCGATCTTTTGTCTCGCCCAGCTGCCGCTTTGTTTGGTCTTGGACAGTCCAGTACCCTGCTCTATTAATCCTGTTCCCGGTGGCACTTCTTCGGTTACGGCAGCTTATCAAATAGAAGAAGTGGAGTAGAGCATACTTTATGTAAATTTCCTATAAGAGTTACTTTCCTCCTCGCCCTAATCCAGTTCAAATCGATGCGCGAGTTCCTTATTAAAGCTGCCCGGGGATGGTTATGATCTCGGACAAACGAAATTCCCGGGGAGTGAGCTCTTCTCAATGCCGGAATAATTAAATTTCGATACACAGGAAGCTGTTTCGGTTGGGCTTATATTTACACAGTTTGCTCCGAGCAAATAATATAAATCTATTGAGACAGAATTATTACGAAATTTTATTGCAATTATTAATCCGGTTTTGAGTTCCTCTGTTTTGCTGTTTACCTACTTTATAAAGCTTGCTGAATCACATGTGTCGACAAAATTGAAACACGTTGCACTGCCAATTTAGCGGTTTATTTATTAATTTCACTGCAAGACAATTCCCCATTGTCTGGATCTGGCGCATGCCACGGAACTCTGGCCGAAGTCCCAAAACAATGAGCCGAAAATTTCCGCCAGAACAATACAATAACCACATGAACAATAACGCATCGTACATGGAAAAAATACCTAAATTATCTGTTCAAGTGGAGATCTTTCAATTTATTTTGTCATATTTGTCAAAGAATCTAACAAGAGATTGTACGAGTACTGTGATAGGCGAGGGCCAGGATGCGTTCGTGCAGGATCATGTAGGAGAAAAACTGCAGGACACTGAGGAACAGATACTCGTTCTTGGGCACATCGAACTGGCGATCGTGGATAATGGTGGCCGTGTACATAACCATGCAGATGGCCACCACGGCGAATATGTTCCGCACTGCATCGTATATCCCCTGGTAGTCGATGAAAAGGGCATTGATAAAGAATATAATCATCATTATGTTGGATATCGCCACCAAAATGCTCAGCACCAGATCGCCCGGCACAATGAACATGGGAAAGTAGGCGCCCCAGAAAATGGAGGCCAGCATCAAGGCGACCACCACGACGCCTGCGTAAAAGTTTACCAGCCTATTGGCGCTGTGCTTCTGCTCCATGGCTATATAGATGGTGGAGCTCTCCACGATGGCGGCGATGAGGATGTAGTTGTAGGGCACCTTGCGGCCGACGTTGGTCCAGCTCAAGGTGGCCACCCCGAAGAAGGTGCACATAAGCCACCAGCCGTAGCGCTCCTCGGCTCTGTCGTGTATCATTAGATCAGTCAAACTAATTATGACCCACTGCGTCAGGGCGATCCCGGCCAGGATGACACTCAGCCCGTAGATCCGAGCTGCATGGCTGATTCTCTGGACCGGCGGTTCGCCGTAGACCTCCGGTTCATTTGTTCGAAATTTTGTTCTACGATATCGAGGCATGGGTCAAAACAACATAGAATTCCCAAATTTCTTAATTTTTTAAATTAAACAGCACATGAAATTCCTACTGAGGTATTTTGAAACACTCTCGCAATTTATCAAAGTCCAACCAATCGAAAAAGAAATCAACTTATACAAAAATCCAATTCAAATATTAAGAATTTATTTATCACATATATATTTTATTAAAATATTAAAATTTATTAAATGAGCTTCCACGTTTACTTAGGAATGGTAGACAAGGCGCCTAAATGCTCTGGAGTTCCGCCAATAATTTCTATTTCAATTGTACAACCGAAGACGCACAAGCAGAACACCAAGATCCATGCGTCAATGAAGATTCCCAGGGAGCAGATCGGTTCGAGACCCAGTGGCACGTACCGCAGGCGCCCGTGGATGAACTGGGCTTGCAGGGGCACTATGGTGAGACCTAGGATGAACAGGGCTCCGGAGAAGCCGACGAAGTAGTAGCGGTGGGAGAGCAGCGACAGGATGCCCAGCGGAAAAAGGGCCGCCAAACAGAGGGCCACAATCACTCCACTGAAAAGGACGTTTGGAAGACACGGCTTCCGGCAATTGGCTCCGCAGATCAGCAGTGAGATCATCAATACGATCATTACCGCCATGTAGACCACCAATTCGGTGACGTCGTAGAGCCCCACATAGCACGCTCCAGTCAGAGTTACGAACCACACAATCAAGATGACCAATGACCAAACGATCAGTTTACGGAGGCGCCTGATCGGCAGGCAGGGGAAGATTATCAGGATGCAGAGGGCGCAGAGCAGCCAAACGTAGGGCGGAACCGGAAGTACACTGACTACGCTGAGCTTAAAGGACGAGACGATCATCAACAGAAAGGCCGATACGGAACATAGGACTGTTGCCTTTATATAGACGGTTCGTGCAAATACCTTCAGCTCATTCGCAATTAATGCGCCTTCCGTATTCCGTCGCCATCGTGAACAACAAGGCATCGATCTAAGTTTAACCGAAAGCAATTTTTACATTTTGCTCAGATTCTAAAGTCTTTAAAGGTGTTTGCTGGGACCGAATGAAAAGTTATTTGGTACTATTTTTTGGAAAGCATACCTACTGGTTTTTGTAATTATTTTAACACAATTGGTAGATACTAGAGCCCTGCATGAATGGATTCAATGAATTATTTTGAATTTTTTTCTGTTATATGAATGAATTAATTGGAATTTTGTGTTTAATAGAATTGAATGAATTTGAATTTTGACTTTAATAGAATTGAATGAATGAATGGCATGAATTCCGAAATAATTCAAACGACAATTTATTTTGAGGAAGAAAGGGCGATTATTTTGTGATTAAATCTGGCTGAATTTTATTTACTATGCAGTTAACATTGATTTGTTAAAAATTTTCCACTTTTTGTTCTCAAAAGAAAACACAAAAAAAAACTGAAAAAATCTAAAAATTCATAAAATAATTCATTCGATTCATTCAATTCGAAATGAATTAGAACAACATTCAATTTATTTCACATAGAATTGAATTAAACAAATCAGAAATTTCATGGCGTACTATGATAAAACAAAAATTGAATGATTCATGCAGGGCTCTAGTAGATACAAAACATTAAGCTTGATATTTTTGATTTTTATAAACTTTGTAGAAGATTTATGAAATTTACTTTATTTAAATATTTAAAAAAATAAAATTATTACCTTTTTTTTATAATTAAAAATTTTAAATACTTTAACTTCTTTCTTCTTTAACATTTCATCATCCAACCAAATTCCAAAAATTCCACGGACATTTAATACATTTATTCTTTATTATAGTACTCCCGAAAATTCACTTGTTCCTCACATTTAATTCACGGACTTGTAGTACACGACAAAGATGAGCATGCAGCAGAGCAGGAAGACGAAGTGCAGGTAAATCCCGTTGGCGGAGCTGGCCGTCTCCCCGTAGGGCACCTGCTGCAGCCTTCCGCAGATATAGCGGGCCTGGAAGGGGGCCATGAAGATGATCAGGATGACGAACACAATGGCAAAGCCCAGCATGTAGCGCAGATCGTGGATGACCAAGAAGAGGATGAGCAGCACAATCATGGTAATGGTGGCTAGCAGGAAAATGCAGCAAGTGCAGATGAGGTTGGGCAGCAGGACTTCCGGACTTCTGGCTCCGTACAAGTGCAGGAGGGCCAGCAGGGTGCCGGCCAGGACCATGGCGACCAGGAGGACCCACACGTTCACCAGGAACATATAGTACGCTCCGTACAGAGTGACGAAGAACAGGGAGCCCAAGACCATGCCCCAGCAGAACAGGGTCAGGGCGGGCGTCTGTCGGACGCAGCTGAGCACCGTGAGGATGATCAGGGACAGTATCAGCCACACGAACGGCGGCACCGGGATGGCCAGGTACACGTTCACCGCGAGCGCCGACAGGACGATCCACGGAATCGCCGAGAGGATACACAGCCCAACGGTGCCCAGGTACACCCGATAAATAAACGCCCGCAGCTCCCGTTCATTAATGACCACAATCTGCGGCCCATCATCATCCGGCTGGCCATCTCCTCCTCTTCTTCCCAGGCCGTACGGCGCCCAGCGCGCATTCTGATTATTCATGTGTTGACCAAGGATTTCGAATCGACTTACTGGAATTTTGACACAAGGAGCGTGGCTGCCTAAGTACGTACAAACAAATTACATTTCCAATCCGCATGAGTCAGTAGGGAACAGATTGATAGGTAAAGTGTGTTGAAAATTTCAACTTGAAATGCTTAAAATCGTTGTGCTTTAAAAACTATCGTATTACTATTTATCTAAAGTTTAAAAACTTTTCCATATTTCCAGGTTAAACACATCTTCTTTAATATTTGATTTTTAAAAGCCTCAGCTTTATTTTTATTACCTTGTTACAGAGTTATTAGAAATATATTTGCACTCTCCTATTGACCAAATCAAGGCCAAAGATTACAGGCTGATTGGACGGAGTGTCCATTAATCAATCCCGGACTTTAGGGTCTGAAGACCTTAGATCTATGGCAGGATCTTCAAAACGAAGACACCAGGATTTCTCAATCAAAGTCATTCTCAAGGGTCATCCCTTCTCTTGGATCCACCGTTGTTGCCGTGGAGGCCTTCCTCTCATCCACCAGGATGAAGTAGCAAACGCAGCAGAAGAACATCATAGAGTGAAGGTACAAGGTCAGGGTGCAGACCATGAGATGCTCCCTCGGCACAACCTCCACGACATCCAGACGGCCGTGGTTGAACTGCGCCTGAATGGGTATCGCGATGATGAGCATCACGAAGAGGATGCTGACGAAGGCATCGAGGAGCTCCACGTTCCCGGTGCACAGCTGGGCGATTCCCACGACGATCAGGACCACCAGCAGGACAATCATGAGCAGCGTGGAGCAAACGCCGCCGGGCAGAAACTCCTGCGGGCACTTGGCACCCGAGAAGTTGAGCACCAGGATGATCAGAGCCACGCCGATCATTACCAAACTAATGGTCAGCATGCTCAGATCGTCGATGATGCAGCAACCGGCGACGGTGGTGCACAGCACCACCAGACACGTCATGATCCACTTGCTGGGCGAGTAGAAGGATATCCGGGGAAAGCAGTGCATGGCCACCATCGCCACGAAGATGACGATGCCCAGGACGTAGGCGGGGAACGGAAGGTAGTGGTGCGGGTGGACGTTGGTCATCAGGAGCAGCAACCAGGCAGCCACCGTCACTCCGATGACGATCAGGCCCAAGTTGTAGATGCTGCGGATGAACTGGGTCATCGGGTCCAGATCAGCGACCGTCGCCCGGACGTTGTCCTGGTGGTAGATGTTGTCCATCCCAATCCCGCAGAGATCCCCGTAGATCGAGTGTAGAGACTGACAATTGCCGCTCGGCACATCTTGTTAAATGGTGTTTTAAATCTGTAATACCAATGAGAAGAAACTAATTATATGTATTTTAATATAATTAGTTGGCAGTGGCTAGTTTAATTTTAAAAATTTTAATTTTACTGATTTCCCTAGTGATAAATATCTGTAAATACTAATACTCATTTGTTTTTCACAAATAATTACAAAACTAAGCTTTAATTTTTCAGAGATAGTATACTCGACAAGCTTTAAATGAATCTCAACCGGAAGGACCTTAAATCCATATTTCCTTTTTAGAAGCTCCGATAATAACCAGCCATCAGAGGATTCCCCAGGCTCAGATATCCTCACCAAATAGGCGTCCAGATGATGTAGTAAAAGGCCGTAAAGAACAACAGAAAGTGCAGATAGACGTTGACGGCGCAAATCACGAATTCGTAGACGGGTAACTTGAATCGCCTGCCGTGAACCACCTGAGCATTGTACAGGGATGTGGGAACCAGCATAATGGCCAATAGGAAGAAGTACACCACTTGGTAGATCAGCTTGTCCGTGAAGATAAACATGGTCATCACGAAGAGGGAGGCCACTACGAAGACGACGATCAGCAGCAAAATGGCAGCTTCGCCTGGGAGAACGACCTTGGGCAGCCAGGCTCCAGCGAAGTAGAAGATCAGAATCACAGTGGAGGCCGCCAGGAGGGCAATGCAGACGTACACCAGATTCCGGTGCCAGATAACCAGGATTACACCCATGCCGGACAAACTGACAAACAACCCGGCCAAAATAAAGCTGAACCAGTAGAACTTACGACACTTTGTTCCGATGCTGAGCAAAAAAAGAACCAGCAAGGAGACCATGGCGCATATGAAGCCGGGCATTACGAGATCGATACCTAAAGGAATGGCCTTGGACAGAATCATTGCCATTATGGCGGTGGTGGTCGAAAATAGGCCAGCCATCAGGTAGCAGCGCCTCATGAAAATCACATCCAGATTGGGTCCGTTTCCGGATTCCTGGGGCCTGGAGGCATCGCCATCGGGAACGGCTCGCCGGGCCCTCAATCGACGGGGTACCAGGCGGAGCTGGTGACCCGAGGGATACTCGAAGCGAACCAGTGGACGAGGGACCTCCTCCTCCGGCTGCTGCTGCGGAGGAAAGTTGAGCAGCTGAAGGGCAGGAGGCAAGAGTAGACAGTAGTTTCTCAAGCTGCCACCGAACATTATCTTTGGGAGCACTTGGAGGTAAATAACTGCAAAATTTTGACAATATATACAGGGCCCATTCTAACCCATAGAAACTTGGATAAAACAAAATGAATTATATTAAAATATAACCTATTATTTATTTAGTTCCAACCACTTTTTATTTTAAAATAAAAACTTTTTAATAAGTTTATTTTCATATTTATTTTTTAAAGCTATAATGGATAGAAAATATATAGATATACATTTAAAAGGAAAAATTGTTTTTTTTTATTTTTTTAAAATTCTCCTTTAACGACTCTGCCAATTTTGACTTGGGACTTAAACTAAAAACTGAAACTATAGGATGAATTGCTTTCTTCTCAAGATTAAGATTCCCGAGAGAGATAATTATGGTATCTTAGTAAATGCGATGGCAAGCAAAAATATTTTACATTTTCCGTAACTTAACCGTATTATGCCTTTCGATCGGGGCGGAAAACTCAGCGAGCCATGCGAAAATGCACGGGGACTACAAAGCCGTCGTGGAAAATGCTAAGTAGCTGCGATCAAAGCTAACAAAACAGCCACAAAGGATGCTTGCTCCCCCCTGCACTTCCCCTGCACACATTGTTTGTTGTTATTTTGCTGATCGCTTGAGTGACACGCAAAGGATGCAGACAAGGAGTAGAAAGGAGTTCCCGAGATGTGTTTACTGCCGCATCTGCGGCCTCGATCACGATCACTTTCACAGACGGTTGATGCTTGATGGTTGATGGTTGACGGTTGGACGGCATTGTTCGGGAATGACTCAATCTCAATCAGCTGGCTACGCTTATCCTTGATCCCCGCTAAAGACATGCAAATGCCAAAGGAGCGGACGGTCGGGGAGAATGTCAGTTATCTGACAGCTGCACTCAATGCAATAGATACGCTTACTACTCAGGGGAGTAACCCTTGAGTTGCCAATCAAATCGTTAACTTTTTCTGGTCCTCGTGATTGGATTATTGATTGGGTAAAAAATAAAAAACGTTCCATATTTTAGGAATTGAAATATTTTTTTACGAAGTCACTTAATATTTATATTTATTGAAAAAAAAGTTCTAAATATATTCACAGAAATATATTTGGTTTTGCTACTTAAAGGTTTCTGATTTGAGATGTAAGGCTTTCAGTTAAACTATCCTCAAATATTTGCAGTTCAGTGGTTTTTAAAAACTCGTATGCCTTGTTTATTGATTTTTCGCTTGCGAATTTTGGCCTTGGGCTATATATATTCACTATTCATGTTTCACAATGGCCTCTTCGGGGCAGGTCAATGTACCCATAGTGCAACTTTTTGGGTTTTTATTTGCTTTGCCATAGACTGACAGCGATGAAAGGGCCCGCAAGAGGTCGGGAGGAAAGTGAAAGCGTTGGCAAGTGCTTGACAACAACGACATGCAAGCGTATGCAGTGGACCAGGCCGGATCTAAACTACCACTGCCTAACCCAAGCTCAGAACCCCTCCTCCCCCCACTTCCCCCCAGACAAACTAACGGAATTTCCCCCACCGACTTTTCCCAGCCCTAACTCCATTTGGGATTTTGCATGCGAACACGAAATGTTCGGGGGCCGCAAAACGCAAAAGGCAAAAAGCACAAGCCAGAAAAGCTTACAGAAGCGTAACGAACGAGAACCGCCCGGAGATTTTGGCGGAGAGAAGGGGCCACCGTCAGCCGTGGGTCAGTGGAGAAGACAGGTTGTCTCATTCTACGTGCTTGGGGCACGATTTATAATATTCTATTAGTTCCACGACCCGAGCCCGAGCTCGACTTTTGGGCCCAGCCCATCGCCGACTGACTCTGACTGACGGTTGTGTGTGGCAGCGCAGTTAGCGCAGATAATACATCCGTTTCCGGTTAAGCCCATATTTTTGTGTCATTTAGTCGGCGGGCGGCGGGGAGGAGCGGAAGGCGGCGGTCGGGGGGCGGGACAGTGCGGCAAGTGCCGAGACAGCGTGTGTGGGAGTGGAATAGACAGCTACAGATGCTGGCTACACTGAGAGAAGCTCCTTGTTCTTCATTGCCTATGAAATCCCCAACAAACGGTTAACCGCTATACCATTTTTTTTTTGTTTTTTAGCATTTTAAATTGGTTAGTGAAAAATAGTATTAGTATATTTAAAACCTAAGCCCCTTCATCTTCCTAAGTTTTAAAATCACAAAAAAGCACAACATTATCTGCCATCTTACAAAATATTATTTGAAGAATTGAATATAAAAATCGTGTGTATCATCAAAAAAAATTACTAGGCGAAAGAAATTAATGTTGTTCCGTTTAGTTAGTGTTGGATAAAAATTCCTAAATTCCTAATAAAAAAGTTTTCCATCAAGTAAATTCAAATGTGACTATTATTTTTCTCAGCGCAGACGCAGGGCTTACAATGCGGCTGACATGCCAGCTAACGAGGGGTGGAAAGGAGGATGGGGTGGCCGAGAGTGGGTGGGGACTGGGCTAGGGACAGGGAGGGGGACAGTTGACAGGGGCATGTGCATGGACACGGACATGGGATGAAACTGGAACTGGAACTGAAAATGGGGCTGGGCGCATCAAGTGATGCGACAAGTGCAGCAGACGCTGGAGCGGAATCGTCAACGCTTCCGCATATTTCTCATTTCCACAATTAAACATTGCGAGTGGAGCGTTATGGCGAATGCTCCAAGGGTTGCACAAGTTTTAGAGGGGTGGCCAGAGGGTTAAGGGGTTTCGGGGGGTGCCGGCACTGAGGTCGGCTGGAGCCTGCTTCTTAGATAAATCAAAGGCAAAGCAATTAATAATGCATTTTTGGAGCGGGAGAGCGGAATGGGGGATTGGTAAATTTGCTGCATTCGCTCCAGAACGGAAGCTCAAATGGAGCTTGCAGCTAGGAAAGTCGGGTAATTATGCCCCAGCAGTCCCTTTCCTAAACTCGCCCCCCTTCGAAACGGAAGTTCTGCATGACTTTCCCTGCCATATCTTATCGGGGAATCCAACAACGAGCCAGCTGGTAATGCATGGCTCCCCGTCCAGTTAATGAGTTATTGTATAACACCTTCTGATTCGACGGCTGCTGTTTCGGTGTCTTCCTAGTTCGTCACCGAAAATGTATACAAGTTAAGCAAATAAACAATATTTTGTGAACAATGCAGCAAAGCTGTTTAAACACACACCCACCAGAAAGTGAAAAGGCTTCCTAAAAATAAAATTGTAATCAAAATTGTACGAGGCATGGAAATGTTTTTTGATGAGCTTGCCACCTGCAGTTACAATTTTATTTCATATGCAACTGCGGTTTCTTCGAGCCAAAAATTCTTAACACCAAAACTTTAAGTTGCGTGGAATGTTATGGTGGTCTAATTACTATATAAAATGTATAATATACAATACTTGAATCATTTCCACCGCAACGGAAAATGAACCGAGTATAAAAAGCACCGCCCAACACGGCGTTACTAATTACATTTGTGCTAATGTTAATTTGTTACAATTTCCGGAATTTCGCTAATTTATTTTTCAACATTTTTATTAGCGGCATAAATTTACGGTATAGAAACATTGGGGTGGCGGCGTAGAACTTCCTCTTCAATTGTGGAATATATCAACACCGGAGGAAATAAATTAGCATATATTTTATGTAGAACAGGGGAAATGTAATTTATGATTAAAATGTATCATAGCGGGCATAGAGTGATAATGGAAACGGAGCACAAGAAATCTTCTCATTCGCAGCCGTAATATTCCATTTATTGATCCATTACTATCACTTTTCTCTGAGACCCACAACTGACCCACTGAAGGCCCACACAAATCCGCCGGCCAGACGATCGATTCAAATAGTCATATTGTTGAATGTCTTTTGTTTGCGCTCGCCCTGGGTGAATAATACTTTTCGTGGGTGTTTGAATTTATGAACAGTTTATGGGTTATGGGCGAATTTTGCACTCGTCCAACCGGAACGCGCCGGCCGAACGGACATGCCTTGAATTTTGATTGATTTTCAAGATATTAATATTTATTTATTTTATTTCTTTCCTTTATTTGCTTCTTTTCCCCTTTGGCTACATATTTTTTATACTTTTTATGGCTCGGCAGAATGTTGAAATAAACACGTTGTATTGCCGCTGTTAATGGCCGCATAAATTGTTGTCAGATATTAGTAATAAATATATATTTTTTTCATATGTGTCACTGTTTGTTTATTTATCATAACAAATTTGTCGGTATTTGTCCCGCACGTGCCAACAATTTTGAGGCCCGAAAGTCGCTCTAATGTATTAGCAATGCATTAGTATCCATTAATCGAAACTACAAGAAATCGTTCGCCTGCAGGCCAAAAAGGTTAAAAGCTTGCTCACTGCTGGCATTTTGCCATCCTGAAAATGCGCAAGGAAGCCAAACTACTCAGGCCCTCCCTATAAACCACATCCTCGCCTTACCCTTGCAGCTCTAGGAATATAAATCGATCGGAACGGGTCGGTTCTAGGGGGTGTTCCATGGTGTAATATGGGATCTAAATTGTTTGCTTTTAGCTGCGTGGTTTCAGCGCACGTGACTGGGGAAATTGATTGCGGCAGACTCATTAAGTGTTGTAATTTCTCCAAGTTAATGCATAGAAGACAGCGGTAAAGTGTTTGATTTCAATAACTAAATGCTCAAAAAGACGCACCATTTATCTTTTACTCCACACAAAAAAGCTTGAAGATATTTAATAACAACATGTATTGAAAACAAATATTTTTCAAATACCCTAAAAATATATATAAAATGTATTTAAAGAACTATGTATATTTATAACTTTATCCTTTATCATTTTAAAAATTCTAGTCTAAATTTATAATAAATACACAGAGAGTTATTCTTTTAAATATTTAATACCAGTGGAATTTAACGTTTCTTTTTAGTTGATGGGCTTGTCAAATCTTAAATTCTATCCATTAATGTATGCCATTCTATCCAACAAGATTGGATGTTCAAAAATATCGAATTTTGTTGTTTCTCCGTATCCTGGGTCCCCTGA